AGTTTGGGAAGATGAAAAAGGATGGTGGTGATGGTTGTATAACAATGTGAATGTACTCAATGCCACTGAACTGTACACTTAAAAATGGTTGCAGTGGTCAAGTTTTTGTTATGCATATTTTACAATTTTTAAAAAATGTACAAAAACTAGAAAGTGAACAAACACACTAATGGAATATACTAAGTTCAAATTTAAGACAGCACTTTCCAAATCTTGTCCCGTGGCTTATTATTCTTGAAGAATGTGCCTCAAAATAAGGATTTTGTGGTTGTTTAGTGTTTTTTTTAGACAGAATTTTGCTCTTGTTGCCCAGGCTGGAGAGCAATGGCACAATCTCAGCTCACTGCAACCTCTGCCTCCTGGGTTCAAGTGATTCTCCTGCCTCAGCCTCCTGAGCAGCTGGGATTACAGGTGCCCACAACTACGCCTGGCTAATTTTTTATATTTTTTGTAGAAACGGGTTTCACCATATTGGCCACACTGGTCTCAAACTCTTGAGCTTAGGTGATCTGTCTGCCTCAGCCTCCCAAAGTGCTGGGATTACAGGCGTGAGTCATCATGCCCGACCTAGTTATTTTTTCAAAAAATACTTATTGGTCACTGCCTGCCTGGTAGGCTCTGTACTAGATGTTCAGAACCAGGTATGGACAAACTTGATGTGGTTCCTGTCTTTATCAATTTGACAATTTAGCAGAATAATATTCCCCTTCATTGAAAACCAAATATAGGGCAAAAACCTTACATTCTTTATTTTATTTTATGCTTGTGAGGTTGGTATTATTATTCTCTTATTAAGGAAGAGGAAACCGAGGCTCAGAGAATTTAAATAACATTCTCCAAGTTCACTCAACTAGCAACCTGGGCCCATCTGGCTCCAGAGTCATAATAACCAAACAGAAAACAGTCCAAACGTACATCAGCTAAAACCATTGAAATATACACATTTAAAGTGGTAAATTTTAGGGTAGGTGAACTACAGTTCAATAAAAATAATCACAATTTAATGTATTAGGAATAACAGACCACTGGGTCCTGGCACACAGACCATTTGTTCCGCCATTTTATACTGTATAATTAGGGGGGCAATAGAGCTCCTTGGGGTTGCTGTCTTCCCCTCAATAAATGCAGTTTCCTAAATTCTAAGCAGAAAAACCAAACAGGTATGAAAGAGCAAGAGCAAGCTTGGAAACTGTGGACCATCAAAGTGTCAATGCAGGTGGTATCGACCCTACTGTTCGACTTTTATCTGCTAGATCTGCTTAGCCTATTTTGACAACAGTCAAGAAGGCAAAGTTCCTAAATTATTTCTCTTCACCGGAAAGTTTACATTCCAGCAATGGATCATGGCACGTACTTGGCACAGGGTCTCATTTCATTTGAATGACATCAGATTCACCTGGGTTTAAAAAAACTATAAAATCAACAAGCCACTGAATTGTAGAATTAAGAACCCAAAAGGACTTTGGAGGGAGGTCATCTGACCTGATTCTCTTATTTTGGTTAAATCTGTGGCTTGCTCAAAATCACTTAGCCAAGCATGGCTGAGACTTCTGGCTGTCTTGCAATATCAATCCTCCCCTTCTTTCTTGGAAATGCCACTCTCTTCCCTCTACCTTTCAGCTGTGGACATTACTATCTAGTTTTTTGGAATAAAAGCTATATTTCCTAGTGAGGTGTGAATACATGACTAAATTCTGGCCAGTGGGAAATAAATGAGAGTGGTATGAGTAATTCCTGGGAAGCACACTTAAAGGTCAGGATTTGACATGGGGCATATCCTTCTTCCTTCCTGCAGGCTGGGCTGCAGATTTGATAGCTAGAGTTTAAGCAGCCATCCTGGACTATGAGGTGGAAGTTCTACTTGAATAATGGAAGAGCAATAAGAATTCTGGGTCTCTGATAATTATAGAATTGTTCATACCAGCTCTGGAATGTTAATTGCCAGACTTTATGTGAAAGAGAAATAAAATTCTACTTTTTTCAACAATTGTTATTTCAATTCTCTATCATTTACAGTTGAATTGAATTCTAACTGATATAGAATGTGAACAAACAAGTCAAATTGAGAACTCGGGTCTCCTGAATCCAAGCATGGTACTATTTATTATTATGTTTATCACTTTTACAGAATGTATTTATTTATTTCAGAGATGGGACCTTACTATGTTGCCCAGGTTGGAGTGTAGTGGCTATTCATGGGCATGATCATAGTGAGATGCAGTCTCACTAAACTCCTGGGCTCAGCCTCCTGAGTAGCTAGGACTATGGGAACAAGCCACAGAGCTGGAGTACCTTACTCCTTTTTTTTTTTTTTTTGAGACAGAGTCTCACTCTGTCTGTTGCCTAGGCTGGAGTGCGGCAGCATGATCTCAGCTCACTACAACTTCTGCCTTTTGGGTTTAAGAGATTCTTCTGCCTCAGCCTCTCAAGTAGCTGGGACCACAGGCACCCATCACCACGCCCGGGTAATTTTTTTGCATTTTTAGTAGAGTTGGGTTTTCACCATGTTGGTGGTCAGCTGGTCTTGAACTCCTGACCTCAAGTGATCCACCCGCCTTGGCCTCCCAAAGTGCTGGGATTACAGGCATGAGCCACCATGACTGGCCATTGGTTACCTTATTAATTTTAATAATAAAAGCCAAACTGTGCTGAGTGTTTTATATACAATAGTTGCTGGTAATTTTTGAGTCCTTAATATGTGATAGTCACTCTTTAAAACTTTATAAATGTCACTAACTCATTTAATCCTCACGTCAAGTCATTAAAATATGTCTATTATTATCATCAGTTCCATTTTATAGACAAAGAACCTGAGACACACAGAGAAAGAATAATTCACCCAAGGTCACATATTTAGTAAGAAGTAGAGCTGAGATTTAAACCCTGGCAGTCTGGTTCCAGAGCCTGTGCTCTTTGCTCCTATGTTACACTCGCACTTATGATGGAAGCTTCTCATCAGCCTCTATACCCATTTTACTGAGGAGGAAACCGAAAGATATACGTGTCTGATCATTTGCATAAAATCTGCTAGCCAATGCTGAAGTCAGAATTAGAAGCCAGATTCCTAACTCCCAGTCCAGTGCTCTCTCCTCAGACCACCCTGCTGTTTCTGAGGCCACCTGGGCAGACACAGAATCCCCACCTTCTACCTCTCTTTCTCTCTCTCTCTCTCTCTCTCTCTCTCTCTCTCTCACACACACACACACACACACACACCCCATCCAGCAGGCACTCAGACATTTTTGTGGCCAGGATGGCTACAACCTCCTTTGAAAAGCAGCCAGCTTTGCCCTCCACCAGTAACTTTGTTTTATTTATAGTCTCCTGCTCAGAGCTTTTGAACTGGCTGCTCATTCCAGGGAAGATCTTGATAACAACTGTTCCTTGGAGAGGTTTCACAGGAAACAAGGTGAATAAACACCACAGAGCTCCTGTCTGTCTAGCAGAGCTTTGCTCCTAGGGGTGTTTACAAGTTGGCATGGTGTCTGGGTGCATAAGACTTTGAATTCAAAATGGCAGTTTGGACATTTTCACTTTTTTTTTTTGGTTTTAATTTTACAAAGTTTACCCTTTGCCTTCAATAACCTCAAGGCAGAGACAAAAGAGAGAAACTATCTTTATCCAGAAGGTGACTCCAACAGAAGTCTTTTCTATGACTTACCTCTTTGCTTTCTTTGCTTCCAGCCTGGCCAGGACGTAGGATGCAGGACCAGTTACGTAGTGGCTATGGGGTGGTGGTACGGTGGGGAGGCACTCCACGCATTTATAAAAACTGAAATGGCAGAAGGGATGAATGGCATTTCAGGACAGAAAATTGCAAAAAAAAAAAAGGAAAAGAAAAGTCTAATATTAAAAGTCTCTGTCTTTGGACTTGTGGCCAAAGGCACCACCCTAAAGCCTAACTATGTCACACGTGTCTGTAATTATTCAGTATGAACACTAATCTTGGCTTCACCAGTTGCTAGTTATGTGACCTTGGGAATGTGCCTCAGTTTCCTCTTTGTAAAACAGGGATGAACATAGGATTATTATGAGGATTGTTACTACTGATGCGCAGATATACTGTATCTGATTCAGAGGGCACTTGCTCACATTTAAAGCTACCACTAAATGTGGCTAATGGAGCTGTCATTAGCGCTTTCTTTATGATTCCTCTGGGCCTAGAGGGGATGAAATTGAGGTGCTCATGGAAGTGAGCCCTGAGGGGAATGAAATTGAGGTGTTCATGGAAGTGAACCCTAAGGGGGAGCAGGGGTGGGGAGCAGGTTGGTGATCTACGCTCTCAAATCCTTTTGTTGTGGTAACAGGAGTCTTCCATATTGCAGTCCCCTAAGTGGCTGATAAAGGGAGGCAGAGGTCTTCAAGGGGAGGTCAGAGCTGAGCCACCACGTGGGGCCACGAAGCCCCCAGATGGCTTTTCTGTAGGTATGTGGGGTCTCCTTCAAGGTCTAACGGGAAAGGAAGAGGAAAGACCTTCAGGTGGGGAAGCGGACAGTATGATGCAGAAGAGGTTCTGCACGGAACTTACTGGAAGGTGCGGGATGTTAAAGGGAAAACATGCTTTCATGGAGGCCTGGGTGGGAGACATCAGCTTTCTGTGAGAAGGGCTAGGTGAGACGCCTCCAAGGAGAGGATGGGTGACAGTTTCTTTAACGGTCTCCATGGGAGGATTAGGGTCTCTTCATGGCGGCTGTGAGTGGAGGTTTCCAGAGAAGCACGCTGCTGTGGAGCTGTGTAAGGGCCTGCACAGGTCGGTACGCCAGAGTCCTCCGACGGCGCCGGCGCCGGGAGAGACGTGCGGGTGACCGCGCTCCCGCCCCACCCTCGCCCTCGCCCTCGCCCTCGCCCTCGCCCTCGCCCTCGCCCTCGCCCTCGCCCTCGCCCACCGCGGCTCCGCCGCCCAGCCCATGCGAGCGGACTACACTTCCCAGCAGCCTCCGCGGGGCGGCGGCGGCGGCAGCGCGGGCGGGAAGGGCGGCGGTGAGAGGCGGAGGGGGCGGCGCGCGCCGGGTACGCGCGCCGGCGACCATGGCGTTCGCCGGGCTGGAGCGAGTACATTAACCCCTGGAGGCGGCGGCGGCGGCGGCGGCGAGGGAGCGAGCCTCGAGCGGGCGGGCCCCAGCCTGAGGGAAGGGAGGAAGGGGCGGGGAGAGCGCCAGAGGGAGGCCGGTCGGCCACGGGCGGGCGGGCAGCGCAGCGCCGAGCGGGGCCCGCGGGCCCATGAGGAGGCCCGGGGACCATGGGCTCCAGGATCAAGTGAGTGCGGCCGGGCCGGGCGGAGCCGGGCCGGGCGCGGGGCGGCGAGGCCGGGCCAGGGCTGGCTGCAGGCCGCGGGCCGCGCGGGGGACTTGTTGCCGGGACCGGAGGGGCGCCCCGCGTGCCAGCGTCACGCGGGGAGGGGGACGGTTGCCATGGCGATCCAGGGAGGCGCGGGGGCGGGGTGCGCACAGGGTGGCAAAGCGCCGGGGGCCAGGTGTCCCCTCCTCACCTGGGGGCCGGAACACCTGAGATTACAGGGCGGCCCCCACTCCGGGTTTACGGAGAGCCCCTGAAAATGGTCCTTCAACTGTGGGTAGGGGGAGTGGGAAAGCCCCAGAAGCACCTCACCGAATGGGCATGTTTGGGGCTCCCCTGAGAGTTGGCAGGTCCCGAGAGGTTGCAGCCTGGCCGCTTGAGGCCTGCGGCCCCCACAGAAGGCGCCTGAGATTCTCAGAGGGAGGGGCCATTTATGGACTTAAGATGTGGATGGTCGGGGAGGAAGGCCCGTTTCTGTTATTTCCCCCCGCTTATCTGTGAAAATCTCCACGCAGCAAGGTCCAAAGGCTGTAAAGGAGGATACCTCTGTGTTGTAACCGAGCACCTGATCTTGATAATCGTTGGAAAGGCTTTGTAACTCAATCTGGCGAATTCCCTCACTCATTCATTCACCTGGAGTTCCCGGTGGAGGCTTAGCTTTCCAGGGAAATTGTTAATACATCTAACTTGAGAATCCCCTGAAACATTGTTGCCCTCCTTGTAGAGACTTAGAAGTTGACTTTGGAAAGTTCAACTCTTAAGCGGTCCAATTTGGGTGTGTGGCTTTGGACTCTATCTCCCCTTCCAGTCAGGTCCTCATGTGGCCTCTCCCTTCTTCTGCCCCAGAACTTGAGATGTTTTATCTCTAATTACTAACAAATGTTCACTTTTTCTCTGTGACTAATAGAATTGTTTAAGGGCATTAAAAAACAGGTTGACAGCATAGGCTTTTCTGTAAAACAACTTTCCTAGTACACTTTAAACCCTCTTACAGGAAAATCTGTGGAATGTGTTTATTTCAGCGTTTTGAGAATTGTACTAGGGAAGTTTGAAAGAAGGGCCTTAAGGGCGAAATCTAATAATTATTCAAACATTGCATCTCATGTCCAGGTGATGCCCGTGCAGTGTGACCCTTGCCCAGCTGTGCAGTCAGCTGTGTGATTAGATGTCTCATTTACAAAACATGTATGAGATAGCTTCAGCAGCCCTGAGACATCTGCTAAATGAAACTAGGAAAGTTTGCTTATGATAACAAAAATGAAAGAGTTGCATGAGCACTTTGTTAAATCTTTATTTTTGTGGAAATGAGGAAAAAGTTAGAAACATGCTCCAAACAAGAGCTTGAGAGGCTTGGGAGGTAAAAGATGTAGTTTGTAAAACATTGGGATTAAAGAGGCACTCAAGTGTAGTTCCTGCTTCCAAGTAAGAGTTGTAAACTTGGATTTCAATAGCACTTAGAAACACTTTCCAGAAGCCATCTTAGAGTTGCAGAGTATGCGTGAGGACACTTACCCTTCTTGTTACAGAAAAGTTCAGAAACTTGCCTAACACGAGGCAGTGAATATCTAAACCAGCGTTAAAATCCAGCGGGTAAAAGTTCAGATGGCTAGCCCGTCAGATCTTTCTGTTGCTCTCCAAGGTATCGGGATGACAAAGATTTCTCAAGTGTGTTTTGTGGAACCCATCACTAATTCTGAGCACTTGGACGAGGGAATTGTATTGTAAAAGGCATGGAATTGTATTAAGTGTAAAATGAGTATGAAGAATAGCCTTATTGATCTTGAAAGTAGACTATGCTGTGATAAAAACTTAGACTTGGGAAATATGTTAGCTTGTGGTGAAACCGAAAAAGATGAAGAGAGAAGTTATGAAAAGCAGTTGTGATTTATAGTGACTGTTGATTATGCAACTTCTGCTTGTAGCTAGGAATGGGGTTGGAGAGGAAATTGCCCACCTAAGTGCTCCTCTAGTTGTTGGAGAAAACAGAGCTTTGGTTACTAGTGGTAGGCTATTCTCTCCTGGCAGGGCATTCAAGGTGTTCTCCTGGCTGTGGTGAAACTAAGGGTGCAGGTTTCATTGAATAAGACAGTCTTGGAAGCAGGGGTAAGGGGGAGGGGTTGCCTTTGTTTTGTCTTGCTTATCTCTGATGTAGCAAGTCAGTTGACTAGGTGGAATCAGATCTAGGTTCAAATTCCAGCTCTTTTTAATGCTAATTATGAAACTTCACATAGACCGCCTTTTCAAACTCAGTTTCCCTGAAGGTAAAATGGGGAGGACTGTGTCCAGGTTATAGGGTTATTATGAGCAATGAACACAGTATCGATATAAATGCCAGGTCGATATTAAAAACTCAGTAATTGTTAGATTTTTTTCTTTTTTTATCTTCTGTATCAAAAGACTAAGAACATTACTGTATATGAGAAATGTCAGAGAAAGGTATGTTTAAGGTAATGGAAAAGAAAATTTTCATGATCGAGGAATTAGACTGTTAACATGCAGAGTAGGGCTTAACATTGTCTCATTATTAAAAAATAAAAGTTGATTAAAAACAATATTGTGTGCAGTTGTGAAGCTGATGTCTGTTGTGTGATCAGTGGTAAAGCATGTGAGTTGCTAGGCACAGGTGTTGAGATTTAGTGTTTGATCAGACTTCTCTTTCAAGCTTAAGCCTGGTTGAACACAATCTCTGTCAGGTACCATGGAAATCCTTAGTGTGAACCATTTCATGAAACTCTCACTACTGTCCAGTGGTGGTGATGCTATTTATTAACCACATTTTTCAAATGAGAGAATGGGAGTTTATAGGCCTAAGATCAGATGCCATCCCCCGGAAGCCTGCCTTGATGCCAGTTTCCTGTTGCCACCCCCACCCCCTCCTATTCCAGTCTAGGCCAGATGCCCTTCCTCTGTTTCTGTGGCCCCTTGTGTTTATCGCAGTCACAGTGCTAAATCTCGTTTCTTTTCTGTCTCCCATACCATGCAGGACATAAACTTCTTGAGAGCAGGGACTGTCTTTGAGTTCCCTGTATCAAACTCAATGCCTGGCACGTGCTTGTTTAAGAAGAGTTCATGGAATGCATTTAAGAAATATGTTAGGATCTACATTAAGATCCTAATTAAGACTCTGAGTTCTCTGAGTTGAGCATACATTGAGTTAAAAAAATTTAAACCTTTGAGGAAGAAGAGTTTTGTATTTTATAAATTTTTAAGGCAAATTGTACTGGTTTAGGCAGGCCTTTCCTTTTAGTAGAGTATTTAGTTCATGTTCTTCTCTCTTTTTTTTTTTTTGAGATGAGAGGGAATTTTGCTCTTGTTGCCCAGGCTGGAGTGCAATGGCTTAATCTTGGCTCACTGCAACCTCCACCTCCCGGGTTCAAGTGATTCTTCTGCCTCAGCCTCCCAAGTAGATGGGATTACAGGCATGTCCCACCATGCCTGGCTGATTTTCTATTTTTAGTAGAGACAGGGTTTCTCCATGTTGGTCAGGCTGGTCTCCCAACTCCCGACCTCAGGTGATCTGCCCACCTCAGCCTCCCAAAGTGCTGGTATTATAGGCAGGAGCCACCACACCCTGCCTCATGTTCATGTTAATAAAGGAACATTGTCTTGCCTCAAATCAACAGCTAATGGACAAAAAAAGAAGGTCACCAGTATGCAGGTAGCACCCTGGAAACCTAAATCTTAAACCTTTGTGGACATTTATCTAGAAGAATAAATAGAGCAGTGGTAACTGACAATCTTCGACAGGTATGTTTAAATCTTATTTACTGTTTGAATGATCCCAGTGGACTGGAATGTGGTTACTATGAAGCAATTTAACTGATAATGCAGACACACAGCAGGAAACTATGTGGCAGTTTAATATTGCTTGTGGTGACATCCTAGAAATTGCTTCCAGGCACCAAGTGCAGGAAGTGGGTTGTAAGTAATCGAAGGAAGTTTTCTAAGTGAGTTTGAAGAAACCTGACATTTATGGACTCAGAGAAAAGCATATTCTAAGATTTGGAGGCATAGGAACAGGGCAGGGCAACTAATTTGGCCTTGTGGTAGTGATTATTCCCATTAGCCTGTGTACCTGTCTTCTGTCCCTGTCAAACTGTGACCTCTGAGGTTAGTAACCAAGAAATTTATCCATTTATTCATCCATTCACCTACTGTAGAACTAAGAATATTAAGCATTTATTAAATATTAAGAATATTTAAAATACTAAAAATAAACTAAGAATATTAAGCCAACATGTCAGCCATTATTACCATAATTAGTAGTAATACTGTGCCTAGCAGTGTGCTAATTATTAGGGACACAAACATGAAAAATATTTTTCTTTAAGCTTTCTAAAGTAGTGGAAACAAATGTAAAACAAAAACAACCCCCTTCAGACTCCCTCCCTACCAAAAAGAAAAACAAAAACAAAAACAAGTATAATACGGTATAAGTTAATTGCAATGGTGGAGATGCCACTGGTGATGAATAGGTGAGTAGGTGAAGAAGAGACTGTCTTCTGGGGAAGAGGGTGGATCGGGAAAGGAAGGCTTCACCAAGAGATCATGTTTCAGCTGAGACATGGGTAGGGGTGGGTGGTTAGCAGAGGGAGTGGAGGCAGTAGTGCTGGTGGTGGTATCAGCAGAGGAAACAGTACGTATGAGGACGTGGCATATTAGGGAAATAAAAATAGGATCATTTGTTAGGCACTTAAATGCCAGGAATTGTGTTAGACTGAGAATTACAATGGTGAACAATACACATTCATTCCTCATGGTGCGTACAGTCTTGTGGACCTGACATGAAAAAACCAAGTGAATTCACAGAAAGCTTATGTGGATGTTTGGAAGCACACGATGCCTCTGAGAGAGAGTGATTGGAGTGACTGTCCTATTTTAGATAGAGTGGCGAGGGAAGGCCTCACCGTGGAGACGACATTTGAGCTGAGACTTAAAGGATGAGGAGGTATTAGTCATCT